GCAACCCAAAAACCTTCCCGAAGTCCCAATACGGCCCCTATCAAACCACTAAGTTGACGAAATCGTACAGGTCTCCGTACTCTAGGAGGCATCGAAAACCGATCGTAAAGGATGTCAAGAACCAAAATCCGCCAACGTTGATTCTTTACTGCGGCTGAAATATTCATTTTTAGAGCGTTAGTGAATTAAAAAAAAGCAGTATAAAACCGAATGTCCAACTGATAAGGCTGAAAATTTTTTTCACTTGTTATTTAACAGTAAGATAACTACATTCACCAACTTTTATTAAAATAAAACCATTTAAAACTGGGTGTTCGGATTTATATGTCACTTAATATAATAACAGTTAGCGCGTGATCTCTCGGTAACAGTTGGGGATAGCGCCTCTTATTGGTCAATTCGCCATTAAATTTCAAGCGGTCGCCTGGCGGAATAATGCGCGGGGCAGGGCAGGGCAGGCAGAGTTGCATTCAGGCCACCGACCGTCGCGTGTATCACTGCGTGCTCGTGTTTTCGTAATCACCTTGATTGGTTGTTGCTGTTAAGCGTATTTGAGTAATTTGTTAAGTTTCTGTTCGTTATTGTTATCCTCGTTATTATTTGTTTTGAACCAATCCTGAACATGTCCAGTACAGATACTGCTGATGAGGCTGTAGCCCTCCTAGAAAGCGTTTAAAAAAAAGACATCTTAGCGTAGACATGAAAGACGCCATATTGAATACATTCAATAGAGCGGAAGGAGACGAAACATCAAACTAACCCGAAAATAGCTCTGAAAGTGGCAGATAAAATTGGGGTACCAAGCGACAGTGTACAATGTTTGAACGAACATAGAAAAAGCATGCCTTTTCCAAGCCAATGACTGGTAAAAATCGGAAAAGTATCATAAGATCGTCGTTGGATGACGCTGACAAGCATGCGATTCGGAGAAAAGTGCACGAGTTCTCTTCTTCAGAACGAATACCGACAGTTGATAAAGTATTACGGGAGGTTAACGAGGATGCTATGTTAACCAAATTTCAAACGTTCGACTATTCATAAACTTTTTGAAGCAGTTTAATTTCGAATGGAAGAAACGAGGCCGTAACAGCTTACTTATGGATAGAGAAGAAATTGTTCTGTGGAGGAGAAGTACCTGACCAAAATTAAATCATCAGTCAGATCTATTACCTGAACGAAACCTGGATTAACGCTGGGCACACTACTCCGAAGGTATGTTTGAAAAACGTGACTTCAACCAGAAGGGCATTTAGATGTACTGTCGACCGGATTGAAAAATCCAGCAGGTAAATAGATCGAAGTAGTTCGCGGTATCAATTTTTGCGCACAATATCTCTCTATCTTCGTACCTACAAGACGTGCATGTCTACTTAGCGGATTTTATCTTTCTAGGCAAAGGAAAAAGGCTCATTATTTGCCACATTGGGGGTGTAGATGGTTTATGGTCTTCTGAGTAAAAAAAAACCACTGACTACCATGAAGAGATGAATGGGGAAGCATTCGAGAAGTGGTTTTCAGGCATTTTACGACGTCTCGAAGGACAATTCTGTGGTTGTTTTGGATAATGCTCCCTATCAATCTCGCAAAATAGAAAAAATCCTACGTCTGAATGACCGCTTAACTATCTTCTCTTGGCAATCGCATGGAATTTATTTCATGCCAGGACGAGTATAAGGATTGTTACTTAATGCTGCTGATCTCTAAATCGACGCCTTTGAGTAATTCACACGGCAACGTGATATCTGGATCCTGGTCTGCTTTTTGTTGCAATCGTTAAACCAGCATATCTGTCCATTCACCTGGGTATATACTATGTTGACATTTAGGCTGATGAGTTCTTAGATCCTAAGCGAAGAGCCCTAGAGGGGCTGTGTACCCCGAGGGACATATTCGCCGAGCGAGTTGCGTGTTGAAGAACAAGAAACGTACCGTTTGAGCTATAACAAAACTTCTTGACTGCTTCGCGGAACAGATGATGCCAATTAAATAATTTCCAAGCACGTCCCACGAGATTCTCACGCTCCTCGAGTTCCGAATAGTAAACAACGAATACAAAACCGCGGACGCCGCATCGTTCGCAATTATTTTGCATAGTTCAGAACTTTCGACTTATATGAGAATTACTACCATTCATTCAGTAGAACTTTTGTATCGTGATTCATGAGAAGTTTGAATCTCATAGACATTCTACCATCTTGAATTAAATAAATAACGAACGTTTCGTAACGAAAAATATGAGATACTTTTTAAAATAAAGGGGCATCTATTTCCAAATCGACCATTGTGAGGGTGTATACAAGTAGCAGCTGGAAGCTGGAACTGTAAAGTATCTCAGTTCGCGTTTGATAGCCCAATCACCACCATGACCGAAAGAGGCTGACGATTCTGGAGGCATAGTAGATGCGGTCTTCTCGCCACAGGATACATTTTCCACAAAATTAAACTTTAATGTCCCGTGCATCAAAATCTTCACGAAAATACTGAACTGCTTCATATTTAGCAATTTTTAGGCATTCGCATTTGATAGCCAATCACCACCATGACCGAAAGAGGCTGACGATTCTGGAGGCATAGTAGATGCGGTCTTCTCGCCACAGGATAAATTTTCCACAAAATTAAACTTTAATGTCCCGTGCATCAAATCTTCACGAAAATACTGAACTGCTTCATATTTAGCAATTTTTAGGCATTCGCATTTGATAGCCCAATCACCACCATGACCGAAAGAGGCTGACGATTCTGGAGGCATAGTAGATGCGGTCTTCTCGCCACAGGATAAATTTTCCACAAATTAAACGTTAATGTCCCGTGCATCAAAATCTTCAGGAACATACTGAACTGCTTCATATTAGCAATTTTTAGGCATTCGCATTTGATAGCCCAATCACCACCATGACCGAAAGAGGCTGACGATTCTGGAGGCATAGTAGATGCGGTCTTCTCGCCACAGGATAAATTTTCCACAAAATTAAACTTTAATGTCCCGTGCATCAAAATCTTCACGAAAATACTGAACTGCTTCATATTTAGCAATTTTTAGGCATTCGCATTTGATAGCCCAATCACCACCATGACCGAAAGAGGCTGACGATTCTGGAGGCATAGTAGATGCGGTCTTCTCGCCACAGGATAAATTTTCCACAAAATTAAACGTTAATGTCCCGTGCAATCAAATCTTCAGGAACATACTGAACTGCTTCATATTTAGCAATTTTTAGGCATTCGCATTTGATAGCCCAATCACCACCATGACCGAAAGAGGCTGACGATTCTGGAGGCATAGTAGATGCGGTCTTCTCGCCACAGGATAAATTTTCCACAAAATTAAACGTTAATGTCCCGTGCATCAAAATCTTCAGGAAAATACTGGACTGCTTCATATTTAGCAATTTTTAGGCATTCGCATTTGATAGCCCAATCACCACCATGACCGAAAGAGGCTGACGATTCTGGAGGCATAGTAGATGCGGTCTTCTCGCCACAGGATAAATTTTCCACAAAATTAAACGTTAATGTCCCGTGCATCAAATCTTCAGGAAAATACTGAACTGCTTCATATTTAGCAATTTTTAGGCATTCGCATTTGATAGTCCAATCACCAAAATGACCGAAAGAGGCTGACGATTCTGGAGGCATAGTAGATGTGGTCTTCTCGCCACAGGATAAATTTTCCACAAAATTAAACTTTAATGTCCCGTGCATCAAAATCTTCAGGAAAATACTGAACTGCT